CCGGCCGAAAAGGCCTCCAACGGACACGCAGCCAACGATGCTGGCAATGGCAATGGCGCTGGCGATGGCCGTCGCCCGGCAACGGCCGCTCTCGTGCTGCCGGCTGTCGTGATGCCTCGGTCGTCCGGTTGGGCCGAAATAGAGCCGCTAAATTCTGCCTGACGATGAATTGGCGTGACGTCTCGCATTCGGCCACGATTCGGCCAACCTGCAAGGCCTCCTCCGTCCTGCCGGACGGCAAAAGCATTTGCACCACTGCTCCTCTCGACCCTTCGCCAGACGAGACCAGCGTCCAGTTGGCCCGTCGCACTCCGCACCACCTAATCTCCTCCCGCCTAGCAACCGGCCTCCCAGCCACCTCCACCTATTGCTGCTTGCCCCTCCCTTTCGCCTGTCCCCATCACCACCACCACCACCATCACCATCATCATCACCACCACCACCATCATCATCATCATCCACATGACAACTATTCAATGGCTCAAACGCATCCATGCCCCGGTGGACCGACCGTCAGTCTACAGACGGAATTTACGCTCCTCCAACACCAACATCAACATCAACACCAACACCAGCATCAGCATCAGCACAATCACTATCACCTTCAGAATAGGGCGGATGAAGCTGGGCGGGAGACGAACCCATGCACAGGTTGCCTTTTGCACAGTCCAGAGGGCAACCGTTGCCCCTCCTCGTGGCTCTATTCGGCTTTGCCCGCCTCTTCTCTGGCCAAATCCCCCAGCCCACAACTACTGCCCACAGCTGCTCCGGGCAATTGTGCTTCCATCTGTGATAGTGGGAAATCTTCTTCCTCCGCCTCTTCTGCTTCGTCGTCTTCATCTGTCTATTCCGATTCTGCACCTTCCGCCTCTTGTGCCTATACTTCCGCCGGCCTCGGAGACGCACAGCTCGCCCATCCAGAGGGCGCTCACGAAAGGACGAAGGTCATCGGTCCTTCGGATGCAGCAATCATCCGCTCTTTGGCCATTCCCGCCATCACTTGACGGCCCCGGCCAAGCCTCCACCGGCATCGGACCACCGGCCCCAATTGTACAATCATGTCTGTGTTGGGGCGAACCGGCGCCAGAACGGTGGATGAACGCAACCACTAACTGTCAAATGATACATATCAGAACAATTGGGCAATTTCATGCATTCCCGCAGATGCCTCTGCTCTAAGCCAGACATTTGAGTCTTGTATTTGATTCCATCAGAGGACTCCGAGTTTGGCTATAACACATCAGATTCATGAATGACTTCTTTATTCGGTACAGGCGATATTGAGGTGAGCGCCAAAGGTGAAGAAGCCTCCATACCAGGGCTATCGAAAAACCGTTAGTTCATAGTACAGGGGACCAACAAAGTTCCCATTTTCTTTACCTCAAGAATGCCCACAGTAGGGATAACTTGCCGTCGTGGACCGTTTTACTTGACACCTTTTCAGACATCGCAAGACGTCAGCGTGAAAGGGACACTCGCATAAAACCACTTTTCTCTTCAATGGCCCCCGGCACCACTTGGTTTATCCCATTTATTCTATCGAAACGCTTGGCTATCCTCACTTTTGCTCAATATCCCAATTGGGTTTCGCCTCCCAAGTGGACCGATTTCGCATCCAGTCAGACATTTTCGAAAATTTAGTCTCCCGACTGGCCCTGAAAGTATAATAGAAAGTGCAGGACGGTCGTCAATATCGCGATTATCAATCCTGCCGAATGGATATTCCAAAAAAATTTTTATAAACGATAAACGGCAAAAAATCCTCATAGCTTCATTGAGACAGAAAGACTTCTTGGCTCATTTCCAAACGTTTTCACTTTAAGACAATCACTCCTTTATCGGTTTGTGGCGAGACCTGTACGCGAATTATCTCGACGGACCTTCTTCTCAAAATGGAAAGTCTAGCTAGATCAATTCTCACTCGTGTCTTTCTTGTAGAGACACCACAATGCCGGATTGACGATCGCGATATCAAAAGCTTTCCTGGAATATGCTGGATGTGAAATCGGTGGTCAACGTCCAAATGCAGCAACATGAGACATGAAAAACCCCACTTAACGTAGGCGACATCTTCAAAAATGTACTCATGACTGGCCTTGAAAGTAGGATTGAAAGTGTAGGATAGCCTCACCATGAACCGTCCTCGAGATCGCAATTCCTGGTCATGTCGAGTGGAGACTTCAACTAACAGCATGATTGAGAATTGCTGTGATTCGACTTTCCATTTTGCAAGAGAAGTGGTTGAAAAGAATTTCTTGAGTTGTTATCAGCACAAACCGAGGAAAGATTAATTGCTTTATAGTGAGGACAATTCAAGTGTGCGATGAATCAGTGCTTATTTTTCGTCTGTCTTACCACGAACATTATGAGAGTATATTTTTGCAAATATCTTTTTCTCACTCTGACGATGTTTGCCACATAACAAACGAAAACTCAGCACAGTTTGATCAAAATCACAGGACTTGAAGAAAATCCAGCCGGCCATATTGTAGACAATGCTACCTTGGTTTCCGGTGCCAACAATTTACAAATTCCTTCCAACCAACTGTTCCTTCGAAATGGACAATTGAATCACACTAAATCACCAAAGGATTCTTCAAAGTCCACCAGCTCTTCATGTTCGGAGTGAGAATCGCTCTTTCTTGAATGCCGTCCTCGGTAGGACCACGGTATACGTTCTATCATATATTTAGGATCCGTCAGAGGAATAACTCATTGAGTATGACGTATACCCTGGCCGGGTCCTAGGCCAGATGACAAGAAGTTTTGTGAAGTACCCATCACCATCAGGAGGCCCTACAGATGAGATGCGAGACTGGGGACAGCAGTGATTCCATTGCGCTAAACCCACTCGCAGAGGCACACACTTGTGAGATGATATGATAAACGAGAATGTATATATGATGTGGGATTGAATTAGGCAGATGAAGCGCTAGGAGTTGGGTTAGAGTGAAAGCTAGTCAAGGGGATTGCCTTAATTTGTAGCATTTAAGAACTGTCTTTAGATGCTAAGTATGGAGCCTCCGAATACGGTGCCGACGAAATATATCAGAATATACAAAGTCAACGGTGCGATGCTTAAAATTATCTCGGCTACTACGATACGGGTTTCCTTGTCGCCCGAAACAATGTTTAAAAACGAGTCCAATCCAACTTAATATAGTGAAAAAAGACTGATACAAAACCAAATACCACATCGAATAAAGTTGTCTTATCTAACACCTTTGAGGCAAACCGATTAATTGCATCTATGGGCGAAGATTTCCGGTGGATTTATTCGCTTTGGGGGCTATTGAAGCCAGGTTTACTATGATTTAGTGTAACCTTACAAATGGTAATTCTTTACTTAATGACTACAATGTGTTATGCAGATGAAATCTGATTGGAAATGCTCAAGGTCTTGTGTTCTAATGAAATTTCGCTATACCTTATGGAGGGAAAATAACAAAAGTAATGAAAAAGACAAACAAACTGTTCAATATTTTGGAACATTTGTCATATTGGGATTTGGCTTGTTTTATCTGTTCACATCAGAAGAGCCTAACTCTTCTAGATACTAAGTTTCAGATAGGGTATTTTATCAAGATCATATATGCTAAATTATGTCGTATCAACAGCAC